CGCCACGCCGCCCGAACAGGCAACGTGTCGCTGCCGCTGCCCGCCGTCACCCAGGTGCGCAAGGTGTGGTACGGCCGCATGTGCCCGCACGCCGTCGTGCTCCGCGCCAAGGGCTTGCCCGAGTACGTCCTCGTTCTGCCAGACAAAAAGATGCAGCGTGATGTAGCGCACGCCGTGCTCGCCGCCGTCGCCGACGCGAGGGAGGCTGCCTCGGATGAGAGCTGGTCCGTCGGCGAGAGGGACGTCGACCTGGCCGGCGGCCTGCCCAGGGGGAGGGCCCGCCGCGGCCTGGTTAGGAGGAAGGCCGCCAAGTTTGTGAGGGGGCAGCATAACGTGCCCGTGGACCGGGAGCAGCGCCAGAGAGAGCTGCTTGCCCCAGTTTCTCAACCTCGCCTTGATGAAACCCCACGTATCAGACCAACGCCACCCAAGCCGGTCCAATCACTACAAGGCATCTACCCTGTAAATAGCAAGCAGTCACCAAACGGCAAGCAATCACCAAACAGCAACCAGTCACCAAACATGTCAGCATTGGACAAGGTCCAGGAGGTCGCACGCCAGATGGACAGAGATGCTGCGGCTAAGAAAAAAGGCAACTCTCACGTCGATCACGCCTTTCAAGGAGCACTCACATCGGCCGTTGCTACCGTGCATGAAAACGCACTAGCTGACCGTCGCCGAGAGTCTTTGTTTTTTTGTCTTTCTGCTTCCGCTTTAATGTTCGCAATCATTGCGATCTGCGTCATTTTGTATCTTCTACAACTTCGCCTCCTAGTTATAGCCCGTCACGTAGCAGTACAGCACTAAAAATATTCCACATTTGCCCGTGTACAGGGAAAATAATGCCCTCAATACCTTCGGCGTCCCGTTAGTCGCTTATCGCTCGAGCTCGTAAATGTTCCCCCACTACGGATTTGCAGGTTTCTGTTGCATTTTCTTCGAGTTGATAAATTTCCTCCGCTGGGGAGCACCTGTCGCGGTGGGCGTCGGTGATGGCGTCTGTTTCCCTGACAACTGAGCTCGGGGATCCTTCGAAAGTCCACCGCGAAGCGACGGGGACTTCGCCGCAAGTCCAGACACTCCAGACGTCGTAGATGAATACGAACGTTCATTTCTCAAATCAGGGCCTGCCCCTACAGGCCTCACGCTGCTCCTCACCGCCTCCGCAGAAGGTGGCACCGCGGGAGTTAAAGCTTTTCCTCGCAACGCGCCTGGTACATACTTACCGCTGCTAGTTGGCGCTGCACCGTCCAACCGCAGCCGCACTGAACTTGGTCGCTGGGCTGCGATGCGAGCCTTTTCTTCAGCCTGCCTAGCAGCCTCCTCCGCCGCTTTCGCTTCCTCCTTGGCGACTCGTTCCGCCTCTTCCTCTTGGGCTCGTAGCATGTCCTTCTCGATCTCACGGGCAGCTGCCAGTTCCGCTTCCTTCGCAGCTTGCGCTTCTGCACGTTCCTTTTCTTTCTGCGCCCAGCTGTCGTAGTCCTCGTCAACGCGGGACATAAGGCGCTGCAAGTACTCTTGCAGACTTGGCATAATTCTGTTGGTTCTCCCTTTGTCTTCAAGAGCTCTTGTGTGTTGTGCCTTCGCTTCCTCTAGCTCTTTCGCCGCAATCTCCTCTGTTAACCGAGACTGACTCTCAGCTTCATTCACGTGCGCTTCTTCCAACAGCGGCCACTGCGCCTCCCTCCTCGCACGCTCAATATGGTTCAAGTAGCTGGCAAGCTGCTGGATGCGTTTCTTCATTTCTGCTTGTTCCTTCAACTCCTTCTCCTTCTCACGCGTCATTCTCTCTTCGCGTTCGGCATCTCCCTCGCCTTCACCACCGACCACACCCCCAGATTCCCTACTCGAGATAACGGTAGCCTCAACAGGAGCCTGGGCCTGTCTCTGCTGTTCCTCGTACCGACGCTTCGCCTCCTCTTGCTTACGACGCTGCTCTGCCAATGCGCGCTCTCGTGCTGCAGCAAGCTTCTTCTGCCTCTCCGCCTCTGCAGTTCGGCGCTCGGCTTCCTCCTTGCGTCTTTCGATTAAGCCGCGGCGCATTTGAATGTCCTTCTCTTCTTGGGCACTAGCAGCCCTCGCGGTGGCGACTGCCATCTTTCGCCTCGCAGTCGCCTTCTTTTCTCTTTCAAGCGACATGGCCACAACCGCCTTATCCGAAGCCGTGGCAGCAGAGACGAGAGCATTCTCTGTAAGCATCTGCGACGTAAGCGCCATTCGTCGAGCCAGTCGACCCAACTGACTACGCATGCCATCAGTGGAGAACAGTTCGCTTTCGAACCGCAGGCACTGCTTCTGGTAGTCAAACCTCACCGCCAAAGACCTAGTCTTCAATGCCGTCAACGCCGTGTCTTCTACTTCGGTATATTCCGCAAAGTCCGCGACCTTCTTCATATCCTCCAGACGCATGACATCGTACACCCGACCGAGCTGCTCCAACAGACGGAAGATTCCAACCCGGCGGAGTGGGGTGGCATAGTCTTTGAGAACGTCTTGCGATTCAACAAAGGCAAGGATCTTCTTGAAGCGATCAGAAAACTGCAATGGCGCCATCTCCCCTTCCAACAAGTCGTGCAAATCGGCAAGTTCTGGATGACAGACTCTCCCGACACCCCTGGTCAGCAGCTCTGCAATTAAAGTGCCCCGCTCTGCCGCAGAGCTATATCCAAGGAGCGAGGCCATGCGGGCATGACGGTCTGCATTTTCGCTTGTCGGGGTTCCCAACACATCGGTCATAATTCCGTACGAATCTGACAAAACCGCCGACTGGGCATCGTAGACCGGAATTGAAAGCGCTGCCAACAGAAGCCTGGAGGCCATGGTCTGGGCATCTTCTGCCGAAAGGTTTCGCTTTTGCGTAACTGACAGAGTGTACAACTTGTAAAAAGCATGGGCATGGTACAGATAGTTACCCGACACCCAGAACACTTGCATGAGTTTGTCGTAGTAGATGCTCATGTGCTGCGGCTTGGCCTTGGCCTTGCCCATAGTCATGATCATGTGGATATCCTCAATGGTACGGTAAGCTTCCTGCCAGTGCTCAAGCTGGACTGCTGTGGAAAGCTGCGTGAAGCGGGTCTCTAGGAACTTTTGCAGCGTGTCCGTGTCCGTGATCTTGACGTCATTCGGCGAGTTGCGAGGGTTGTTGATCAATTGGTTGAGGTGCTGTCTCAACATATCACAAAGACGCCTAAACTCCATAAAGCGCTTATACTTGACACAAAACGCAAATGCCTTGGTGGCCATGCCATGGTAGCAAATCTCAAGCTTGTTATGCGTCTTGACAATATCAAGTACAACTCTATAGACCTCCCATAAAAACCTCATCCACGGCACGACTTGCTGGCGATCAATCCTCTCCTTGGTGAGGGCATTCCCCGCAGCCTCCAGAAGGAGTGTCTCCGGGGTCTCCATTGCACCGTCCTCCAAATCCTCGGCGCCCTCGAGAATAGTCTCATCGACTTTCTTGCGGGCATTCTCAGTGCACTTTTCGGCGAGATCGACGAGGAAGCGCACAACGTCCTCTAGAGATGAAACGTTGGACTGCATACACATGGCGCGATACTTGTGAAGAGCCTCCTTGACCATGCCGGGCTTGCGTAGCTGGACGCTGAGCTCCATAAGCTTGAGCATGATGCCTTCGTACGTCTTGCTCCATTGGCGGCGGCGCGTCTGATTGTCGGTGATGATGTCGTACAAAGCCTGGTTGGCATCAGAGACTTCGCCGACCTCGACCAGTTCTGTCAACGGGGTGGGGGGGTACAAAACGTGGCACGAAACGAAGATGTTAGGCGCTGGGGGTTGAAAGAGGCATTCGCTGCATGTGATGCCAACGGCGGCGTCGCCACATGACGAAGGAACAAAGAGGCAGTAGAGATGAAATGGGAATACTTACGAGCAACTCGACTGAGGGCGTTCTCCGGCTTGAGGCCGATATCCCTGCGATCCCATCGCGAGTACCCCGAGCGGTACCCCATACGTCTCGCCATGGTGGCACCCTGGCGCTGGAGCGATGCGGGCGTATGCGAGAAGCTGGGCAGCAACTTGCACTGAGATAAAGGAATGGTGGCGCGAGGGGGAAAGAGACGGCGGTTGAAGGCAGGGAGGGAGTGAATGGCAGCGAACAAAGGGCTGAAGCGTGCGTGCTAGGGGTTAGGATCGCGGGGGGGTTTTGGGAACCGCCGACGACAACCTGGCCGACGACAACCTGGCCGACGACTACTTTTGAGCAGAGGCGAAAAAGTTTGTTTTAACAATATTTTTTAAATGATCGCCGCAATGACCGGAAAAAAGATCCAAAAAACATCCCCGAGATAGTAGCTCGCTCCATAATATTATTATGATATTATCGTACTTGACCCTAAACCGCCTTTACCCAAGGGTACTACCTACCCTTGGGTACAAAGTCTTGCAAACACATTTCCATCGCCTTTACCTTACGGCTTCCGCCTTTATCCGCGAAAGCCCTCATCCACGTAACGTCGCCTCCCGCGGGCCGCTTCCGCAGCCGCGTGTACTTCCGCAGCCGCCACCAGCTTCCGCAGCCACTGCCAGCTCATTTCCCGCCGAGGCGGTCCTGAATGGAGAGGTCATCGCCCTGTCCCTTCCTGCCGAACGCGATTTCCTCGAGCGACTGACCCGCGCGCCGGTACGTCTTCTTCGCCTTGATAAACTCGGGGCACGGCCGGTACGCCTTGATAGGCCACCACGTGAGCACGGCGCCGAGCCCGCCGGCGACGCGCCCCTCGCCGTTGCACCCGGCGGACACGCCGTCCGCGCGCCCGCAGCCGGGGCACGCGTCCTCCGACGCCGCAGACGACATGCGCGCTGAGCCAAGCCGCGCCGCGCCGGGGCGCGCCCGCAGCAGAGGCGTGGTGGGAATGAAGGCCGACATTGAGAAGCGGTTGACCCCCATTTCTGAGCGAGCGGCGTACGGTTACTTGTATATGCGATGAACGCTGCCTGCGCACGCAGCCGCGCAATCTCCGTGATCAAATTGCGCATTGCGAGGTTGCATTTTACATGCCTTTTTTGCCGCAGCCGTGCCACACCATTCATTTCCATTTTTATCGCCAATTACCCAAGGGTAGCGTTTGCTGCCACACAAAGCCCGCCATGAGCCGCATCCTTGACAATCCCGCACCCCGGCCGCCACGGCCATCTCCCCGGTTCAGTGCGGTCCCACGTCGAGCTATTGCTACTCCATTGCTACTCCATTGCTACTCCAAACGACGACTCGAAAATATACCACATCCCAACACACCCCCTCTACCGTCAGGTCCACTGTCAGAGTCAACCCCTCTCACGCCCCCCGACAATTGCGCTCGAGCCACGGAAAGAAGCGTTCAAAGTATCCGCTGCTCCTCGGCACAAGCGCTTCATCCCCGTCCGTCAGCCTCTTTCTATACTCCCTCCAGTCCCAATATTGCACCTCATCCACCTCCTCCTTTTGCAGCGTAAACTGCCGCACCGGCACCGTCTCCGCCGGCCGATACACATAAATGTCCTGTATTTCGTTGTCCACAAACTCCCCATGCCGCTCCGTCCGTCCGTGCGCGCTCGCCTTCTCGCACGTCACAAGCTCCAGCTGCTCGCCCTCCCCGAGCGAGATGCCCAGCTCCTCCGCGAGCTCGCGCTGCGCGGAGGGGAGGCTCGTGTCGCCGGCCGTGATGTGCCCTGCCGCAGATACGTCCCAGCGCCCCTGTGAACACGAGACGAGCATCCATCGCATCGCCAACAGAATCAGCCATCCAGCGAACAGTCCTGACGCAGTGAAAAGCTTGTGCCGACATCAATCAACGTACCGGAAAAGTGTCCTTGAGCGCCGACCGCTTCTGCATCAGTACTCGCCCGTTCGTTGCTAACACCCAGATGTGCGTCGACCGGTGCCAGTCGCCGTCGCGATGCACTAGCGAACGCGCTTTCGACCGCCCGGTCCATACACCGTCCTCCTGCAGAACGTCGAAGTGCTCCTCCACTGTGGAACTCCCTGACGCCGACATACGAATTCGTGCACAACGACTTGGGCCTTGACGATGCGGAGCGAGGGAGCGCAGCGCGGGTAGGGCAACGAAGCACGCGTGCTTCATCCCACTTCTCTTCTCTGGCGTGAAATGAAATGAACGATAACCCATAATCTCGCACGCTGCGGTAGTCCAGACATTTTCACTGGCCTCTTTTTTATTCGGCGATTTTTGCAGTTTCGCAGCAGCACCTCCCCAGACCAATCTCACAACCGTACGCACTGTCAACGAAGCTCGCCAGCGAGGTAAACTTCTCCATCATAGGTAGGGCTTGAAGCCAAGAAGGTATATGTGCATGCGAACGTCCGCCTTGAGTGTATCAACACATGATGTACTCCACGCGCAACTACACATGCGAACAAACCCTTCCCTACAGCACAGCCCTGTGAATTGGTTGTATTGCCAGCAAAGGGATTTTTACATGGTGCAATGCGCCAGGACTCGCGCTGGAATCTCTACTAGACTGCAAGAACATGCCTGATTTGTCTCCCCAGTTGGAGAGCAGAGCACTATGTCTATGAATCCTATGCCAAGGCAAAAGTGGTCAGCAAATAACCTTCTTTGTGATTATGTTTTTCGAATCCGTTTGGGACTGGTATTCGTCAGCAATGTGTAGGCTGAACGAAGGCGTGTCCATGAAATCCTGCAAAGATGCGGGCAGTACGACTCGAAAACACATTTTGGCGGGAGATGAGGATGTTTAAAAGAGAGTTGCCATTAAATTTCTAAAAATAATGATTTTTGAATTTTGAATATGTATAGTCCACTTCTTTTCCCACGATTCCCCTCCCCACCACCATACAAGTCCCCTCCAGTCTCTGTCTTGTAACCGACCCATCCTTGAAGAGCCTCCGAATCAGCTCTTCCCCTAAGCCCAAACCGAGTTAACATAATGGAAAACCATCCTTCAGTTCTACGTGAGCGCAGAAACGAGATTTTCGACCCCGCAAAGTCGTCCGCTAGAAAAGACGAACAAGCGATGATGAGGAACGCGATGGCGCAGTTGGACGAAAGCAATAGCACCTTCGATGACAGCTACCCCAAAATCACCGAGCTGCTGGGCCTCATTGCGGATAACGCCGTCGCTACCCACTCGGAACGCACTGAGAGAATCACGGAGCTCCGGGACCTCCTTAGCGAATGGGTAGCGAGGACGGAGAAGGCGAAGAAACAATCGGAAAATGTCGAGTCTTTGTTTGATAGGCAGCGCTACGTTCAGCAGATGGAGGCAGAACGGGAGGACCTAATTCAGGAGATTCTGGCTGGCACAGAGGAGACAGGACGACTCGAGCAGAAGAATGACGACTTGAAGGAGAAGTTGGCGCACTTGGAACAAATAGCTGAGTCTCTCAAGAAGAAAAAGAAGGAAGAAATTCCGACGTATCTGTTTCTGCGGAAGATCTTTTGTCAAGTGTCGGCCACTAAGATTGTCACTAGCGATAGCGACTTGCTTGAGGGCTTCGTCTCAAAGTCTGAGCGCAAAGAAGTTCTTCCGTTCCGCTACGACCGGACGAAACCAACTTTTGAACGAGTCAACGACCTCTGGAACAAAATATCGGAATAGGACACTGCAACGCTTCAAGTTTTCGACCAAGACGGCCTAGGCCCATCTCGAAACCTATCAACCTTGGCAAATGCCTCAACAGTATCATACTCAACAGTAGCGACTTGACTTAACCGTCTACATATTTCGTTAGGTTAAGCTTATCTTTATGATAGTTCACTCGCGGCAATGTTCCTAGCATGGGTGGTGGGAAAGCTTTTGTGTACATCTACACAAAATGTTGGGATAAGATACCTTAGACCATACGCTTGTATTCGAAGAAATTGCGAATCCGCATGATTTGCACACCAGCAACGGCCAAGATGAGGAAGCACTCCACAAAAGCCCAGAAAGTTACCCTTCTCCTATTCTTGTCAGCAGCTATGCTCACGCAGGGAAAGAGGACGATAGCAGTGGTTGGAATTGGGACCTTTTGTTAGAATCGATCCTTCTTCCGTGCGAAAAGAGAAATCGTTGACCTTTCAAGCATTTGGTGATGTTCGGTGAATGACGCGTGGGGTCTTACTTTTTCGATGATGGTGCTCCCGTGCTTTGAATGCCTCGAGATCGACGCGGGCCGCACTGACCAGGGAGTTAAGTTTCTCGACGCTATACACCATGTCATTGACATGTTCTGTTTTGCCGGGAGAGACGAGTATAAATATCTCTAACGCGTTAGTACAAGTGACAGTGCAGCTGTGGACAAGGCGTGCTCGCGCAAATTCTGAGTCTCATTACGCACCTTCCTTCGCGACATCAGAAAGCGCCGAATCTGACTCGGTGTTAATCCAGAACGAGACCTCTGTTTCGGTCTGGGCGTTCTTGAAGCAAAAGTTATGCTCCCCATCCTCAGTAGCAATAAACTCGACGCGCCCTTCGCTTTCCGCCTCGTATTTCTTGATCTCCCTCCCTGACGGCGATGTGACATGCAAATACACATACGCACCGTAGCCCCATGAGAGAACATCGAAGAAGGCTAACACCTTGTTCCCTGGGGATTTGAAATGGCCGCATTCGCACAGCGTGTTAGATCTCACATGAATGCTTGCGTCGTAAATACCATTAAAACAACGTCGACATGGTAGCGGCTTTATGACATATCTTCTAGCAGTGATTTGAAAACATACCTTTGTGTGTAATCTCATGAAAGCAGAGCGTTTCCTTTGGCGCAATTTTGAAGTTGAGCGCATCCGAACTGGAAAAGCCCGCAAGCACAAGGGCAAGGGCAAGTAGGAGAACCCGAGTAAGACCCATGACTTTTCCGCGAGTCAGTACAAATACGAAACTTCGAAACCGCACGAGACGAAACGCTTCGCCGCTTCAAATCCCAAGGAAATGGGGAACGGGGAAGACTCAACGGAGAAGAAAGTTGCGATCGAAGGAGTGAGCAAAGATGATGGTGAAGACAGTGCTGTTCAAATGGATTGACTACTGGCCTCAACGAATTAAGCTTACAGCACAGCCATGGGACGATTTTTGCTTTTTTCCGATTGTTCGGCACCGAGGCCTTTCCGGGCTTACATAACAGGTGAGACACGTTGTACACGTGCATATGAACAGTACGTAAGCTCCGTGGATCATAAGATCCTGGGCATCGCTTGTCTCTACCGTGCGAGCCGCGATGCCTGCTCGCCGGATGTCGACGAGAGCATTTAGCGAACAGACAACCTCTGTATGAGAGGCAAACTCTTGTTCATGCAACTACAGTACTCTCTTCTTCGGCAGAATGAACTTCACACTTCTTCTTGAACCCAGGCAGCACGAAGACTGCCAAATATTTTATGCACGTAAACTGATATTATACCTTGGCACCCAGAGCAAAAGACCCCACTTCAAATTTGTAAGCCTCATTTGAAACTCACTTTGTCGGCGTTTATGCCAGGGATTGGAATATTTATGGTAATGCCCACAACAGCTGTAGCGTACCAAAATATAAAAGCACAAAACAGAGCACGCAATGCAGAACGCGAAACGGTAAGCGATCATAAGTTGAATGAAGTAAAGGCTGCAACACTGCGTGAAAGAGGTGCATACATACGTTTCTTCTTGATAGATGAAATGTAATCACAAAAGTAGTCGACTGCATTCCACTCAGTCAGAAGTTGCGCAACAGCTTCGCAGTGGCAAGCAAACTCATCTTCTTCCATATAGAAGCTTTGCTGTTCGAAGTAACGCCACATAATCTAAAAAGCCACAACACAACGAAAAGAAGCCGTGTTACAAAAAGTCAGTCAAGCTCCCAAACACACATGCAGAAAAACACTCCACCTCTCCTGCCACCGTCTTCCTCAACGCACCTGCACGTAAACTCGTCCATGCCTCTTTTGCGGCTGGACATCGTACTGTACACCCCAGCGCTCGCGGACAGCGTTTCTGAGCGCCGCGCCATCGAACTCGTCAGTACTTTCCGTCTTCACAGTATCTTCCTCTACCCCAAACAGGCCTTGTAAACGGGATCGCATCTTCTCTACTTTCTTCTCCTGCTCCTCCCGCGCTGTTTCGTCTGGCGGGGGCGGGGGCGCCTCGGCGCGCGGCTGCAGCGAGACGCGCCCGCGATAGGCTCTTCTGGGAGCAGTTTTGGTGAAGAAGGGCTTTATCATCGGGGTTGCTGGCGAGGCAAAAATGGGCGCGCGGCCTACGGCGCAAGGGGCGGAAAATGCCGCCGGCTTCATGCTGCGATGGTCGTAGGGTACTTGCACGGTCCTAACCTGGCGGGGAGGAACTGCAGGGCCTCTTTGAAATGATCCCGATGCTCACAAATACTTGGACTGGGAGCGTTACCCCGCAGTAGAAAGAGAAAGACGGGCCTGAATGCTGGTCGAATGCGGGCAGATTGCTCCTGCCGAAGCAGGGTTTTGGGTTTGTGCAGTGATTGCAGCGTGCAAAAAGAGGAAGCCACTTGTCAAGAGAGAACACGTTTTATTGGCGGAGCGCTTTCCGATCCGTGCGACTGAGATTTCTTGACCTTCCAAATCATCAGGAAACGCCTTTCAAAACACTATCCATTTTGGGTTTGTGCAAAAAATTCTTGAGGTACAGTACACGTGTACATGGAATATCTTCATCTTTATCAACTTCACTTCCTGAAGTGAAGTTGATAAAGAGGCGTTTCCTGATGATTTCTGAAGTGAAGTTGATAAAGATGAAGATAAGCGCACCCCACTCGCATTGATAAAAATTTCCCCCCACTTCCTGAAGTGTTTTTCGATTCCAAGCTTATCTTTGAAACTACACATTGCATTGCTCTCGAGCTACATGATGGCGTTCTCCTGGAAACTACATGACTTCTGAAGACTGGGACCTCTTCGAATAAAACGACTTCCTGTACAGATCTGCATTACGCACTATTTGCGATAAATTTTAGCGAGCTTCCCACCAGGCTTATCGATACAAAGAGCGCACAGGCTTACTCTCAATGAAAATACGAAAAATGTTTCCTCCTTGAATCTATATTACACAATACCGCGAATGAGAGAATCCCGTGTGCCGAATGGCAAGCGATTAAAAGCTACTTCCTCGAGTGCTTTGTGAAGAACTCTTCGCATCCCCGACAGGGTAGTGATAGGAAAGTCCTTCAACGATGGGAAATTGGGTTCGCCCTCCGCGCTAGGGAGACGGGATACGCCCATTCGACGAGGTTTTCTGGATAGTGACCATCGGCAACTCAGATAGACACTATTTAAGAGTACTTTGTTGTAGATACAGCCCCCATCAGGATATCTCGTACAGTAAGTGGGTGTATGGTTCTGTGCCAGTTGCAAGAAGGTTGGGACGGCTACTAAGAACAGAAAGAATGGCCTCTTATTGGAGCATTCGGCGTTGTCGTAAAAAAACACACATAGCATTTATAATAAGCCTCCCTGAGAACCACGCTTCCCGAGACAAGTTGTGCCGGAAGAGTTGGAGCTTCAGAGAAATGAACTGTTTGAGTGTAAACAAGATAAAGGACAGAAACAGGGTGAGCCAGGTACTTGTTCTAACCTTGCATGTATTTTCGTATGAATAAATGTTTCTCATAGTCAAACAAGTTGAATTAGATAGGTTCCGGTTTGCCGGCGGTAGTTGGGGTGTGCTGTATACCCACGGTTGGTTCACGGCCTCGTGGTTGGGGATCTTGTGGAGTGGTCGGAAGCGCCTTCACAGTGTTGTTGTCTGGTCGTCTCCGCTTTGCTGCCTCTTCTCTCTTTTCCTCTCCAATCGAATTCGTGTTTTGAGGAGTCATTTCCTTACTAGCTATGCTTCTGGGTCTTTTCCTGCTCCCATCAGCGCCATGCGTCTCCTCTGGTGCCGCACTGCACAAGTCGGCAATCGACTGGGGCTCCCGAAGGCCGCTCAAACTTACCGGGGCGGATGGTTTCGGAATGGAAACACTGCTGGCCTCATGAACTTCTGTATGGCTCTGTGCTGGGGAGATCTCAGGTTCTGTCCTAATGTTCAGGTTACTCCGATCACCGATACTGCCCTTCTTTTCAGACTTGACCACCCGATCATTTTCTCCTGTTGGACCCACGCTCATGGGTTCCGATGCTGGCGGCTTCTGATCCTTATTGGTCGCCAAAGCACATTGCTCTCTCGGTGAAGATATGTCAGCCTCATTACCGTCCGTCATATTAGAATTTGGTGTATTCTCGCGAGACCCTGACGATGCTGGATCTCCTGGAGAGGAGCCTCTTGTAGAAGGGCTTCGACGGTTGCCATCATCGCCACTTCCATCGTTACTCGATTTGGGTTCGGCCTCTCCAGGATCGCTGTGCTCAATACTTTCACTTCTTCCACTCCCACCAGAAGAGCCACCCATATCGCTCACGCTGGGGCGATCACTAGCGGAGAATCCTGCTATCGCATCGTCGCTGATAGTTGCCGACCCAGCAGAGCTTCGTTGCGGGTCCTGGGGCATGCAGCGGGTCCCATCTCCCTGCGAGCCCGTGGGTGGACTTCTTCCTCGTGTATCGGATGCCGTTTGATCGGCCGGAGGCGATCGAGAATCGTCGCGACGGTCCGTATCCATGGACTTTGCAGGACCGCGCGTAGCTCCAGCTTCTCTGGGTGGCGGTAGTTGCTCGCCACTTTCGCGCCAACTAGAGTTGCGAGGGGCCATCTGCGGTTTACATCCAGGCGGAGAGGAAGATCGAGAATGAGCCATCGGGGCGGGTAGCGGAGGTTTCCGGGAGCGAATGACCTTTGCCCTGTGCGCTCGTCGAGCAGCAGCTGCTGTGGCCCATCCTAGGGCTGGGGAACACTCGGGGCGCGCATCTCTTTGCATGATATCAACACAATTGGAGAGAACTTGCAATGAGTTGCTCGGTCCTGAAGAACTGGCATTCTCGTTGCTATGAACTAAATGGTTTTCACGCCTACCGAGTAGTTCAGGCCTCATACAAGGTCCGATTCCCTGACCAGAAGAAATTTTGGCTTTGCTCTGTTCACCCCTCGCAGGTTCATATCGTGCCACCTGCTGACCGTCAATAATCGAATTCACTCCACCTAGTGGGGCTCTCGCTGATGTCTTTCTCGAGTTTTGCTGCTGCGCACTGTGTGATCCACGTGAGTGATCAATTCCGCGAGTGGTATCTTCGGATGTCAGGCGATTGTCACCAACTGCACCCAATCTGGGTCTGGATTCGTTCCAGGACTGGAGCTGTGAGTGTTGTGGCACAGAGGGACGTCGCCCTTGGGCGTTATGAGCCTTGGGTAAGTTGTAGTACGGGCTCGGTGCCTTGCGTATTGAACTGTCATTACCGTCCGAGTCGACAGCAGGAGGCTTGTTATGTTTGATAACCTGATGGCTTGGTCGGGAATGTGCCGTCCTGCCTTGCTCACCGATAGCGACATGGGTAGCCAATGAGGGTGCATTTTCCGAGTTGTTTCCATTTGTGCCGCTTCCGCTTATACTACCCGTGCCACTTGCAAGTCCCAGTTCAGTGGCAGCGCCGCTATCACTCCCGCTGCCGCTTCCACCCGATCCGCTTCCAGACTTGCTCCCAGTCGAAGAACGACTTCTCGGGTAAGGAAGAGTTGCTCGCTTCTTTGCTCTTGGTGGAGGAATGTATTCCCCTGTTTTATATTTTGCGACCTTGCCAAAATGCTTTTGGGCATGAGAGCGAATTTGCAAGACGGTTTTCGTGCCGATGTAGCCTTCAATCTTTTTCCAGTCGCGATCGTAGAGCTGGAGTGCATGCAGGAAGCGAGTGTGCTCCTCCGGAGTCCAAACCTCGCGTGACTTAGTGATGGTATAAGGCTTTCGTGGTTTTCGGGTGGGCTGACCAGGAGGACAGTGCTGGTCCCGATTCTGTAGAGGGGATTTCTTTGGTTTCGCGGGTGCGGCATGGGCCACGCCATTTGAATGGTTTGACAAGACAGGGGGGTTTTCTTGCTTTTGCAAGGATGCTCCAACATTGGCGCTTTGACGAGTTGGAACTGTCGGCAATGGCGTTTGATCGAAATGCTGCTTCTGACGTTGAATGACCGAGGCGGGTGTGCTTGTTATAAAATGCGGATGCCGGCGACTTGCATACATGGCGTGCGGTTTCTCCTCTTGTTTGACATAAGGACTGATGGCAGCATCGCGCATGGCACCAGTCGTCGGGGCAGTAGAATAGTGCGGCAAAGGCGGGGATGCAGGACCGGGATGCTCCTTGACAACGGCGGGCGGGTGTACACTCGCGGGAGGCTGCTGCTGCGGCTGCTGCTGCGGCTGTTGTTGCAAATGCGGATACTGATATAGATAGGGGTGCGGCGGGATGGGGTGCCTATGTACGGTGGGGTGCGAGTAGATGGCATGCTGGGGCTGCTGTTGTGGCGGGACGTGGTGCAAGGGGTGTGCGGCGGCGGCGGCGGCGGCGACGGCAGCGGTGTGGTGTGCGGGGTGAACCTGTACGTGGTGCGGGACGGGCGGGATGGCGGCGGCAGGCAGGTGGTACGGGGCTTGTGCGGGGTTCCACACGGACGGGGGCAG